GCAAGGAGGCAGAGGAAAGGTTTGTTCCTAAGAGCAACAGAAACAATGGGAAAACCAAAGCGAGTCCTTGGTTTACCCAAAGGTGCAGAGAGGCAAAAACTAAGTGCATTAGAGAATGGAAGAGGTATAGAAGGTGTGGCATGTAAAGAGTACGTAACCTTTATTCGGCGCATGTACACACCCTCATTTACAGGCTATCTCCCCCAACCAGCGAACCAGATGACTGAGGGTTGACGATGGGGCCCCGTCGTTCAACCAGTACCCAGGTTCCAGCCAATGAAAAGATGGTTTTGGCAATCGCAGAGGTTATGTGGGTACCACTCTCCTGTCTGCCCTTGCCATTCCCATTCTAGAGCTGGCTGAAGCACGGTCTGCTCTCTAGTGGCTTCTATTCTGCCTTGCTTACCGTGGAGTGCACTAATACCTATCACTGTGCATAGTGTATATAGTGTACATCTGTTCTAAATTGGTGAAGGATAATACAAGTCAAAAGTTTTCTGCTGTGTTTATTTTGCTCCCTTTACACCCTGGATAACAGGCCATTTGGACTCCTGGGCTGTAATAAAGGCAAAGGACCCAGGAAAACAAGGAGATCAGTCGAAGAGCCAGAAACGAATATGCACAGATAAGGAGGGAGGCCCAGTGACAGTACGAAAATGACATAGCATTGAAAGCCAAGTCTGACCCGAAACTGCTGTTTAGCCACATTAGGAGAAAGACGACAGTCAAAGACCAGGTGATCAGGCTGAGGAAAGAAGGTGGGGAACTCACAAGAAACGATCAAGAGGTATGTGAGGAGCTCAACAGGAGATTTAAGGAAGTATTCACAGTGGAGACGGGAAGGACCCTGGGAAGACAGGACAGAGGGGGGACACCAACAGGGAATAGACCAACAGGTGCTGGACGATATGAACACAACTGAGGAGGTGGTGAAGAAGCTGCTAAGTGACCTTGATACATCAAAGGCAATGGGACCGGACACCATCTACCCGTGGGTCCTCAGGGAGAGAGCAGATATACTGTGTGCCATTAACCACAATCTTCAACACTTCAAAAAGAGGGAGTTGAGATGGAGTAGAGATGGAAGAGGAAATAGAATTATAACATCAGTGTATGATGTCTAAGGAATGACTGAGCTAGTGTTCTGCGGGACACTGGTGGTAGCGAGCTGGTACGAGGACTCAGAAACAGGGCCCTCGGTGTTAGGAGCCGCTGGTGTAGGCGCCCCGATATGAAGGCTTTAGTGTCAGTGCCCTACTGTAAGGAACGCGGTGTGTGAGAGGGTTCTGTTGTTAAAGAACATAAGAATGGAGGGACACTGCAGCAGGCCTACTGGTCCAAACAAGGGTTCCTTATGGGTCCCGGAGTAAGGGCTCTAAGGTAAGCTACCCCGTGTTAGGGGCCCTGGTGCTAAGGGCCCCGATATACTGCCGCAGTTAACGAGGGAAGTTTTGTGATAAGTTTGTTCATAATTATGAATATTTTGGGAGAGGTTGTCATTATTTTCACCCGAAGATGCCATTGTGGCTCCATTTGGGTGCTTCAAGGTTTATCTCTCCTAAAATGACCTTATCAGCCTTTATCAATGACCTTAGCAGCCTCCCTTCCTCAGTGACTTTACCAGCCTTCCTCCATCAATGACCTTGCCAGCCAACTTACATCGATGACCTTACCAGCTTCCCTCCTTCAATGACCTTATCAGTCTCCCTCCATCAATGATTTTACCAGCTTCCCTCCATCAATAATTTTACCAGCTTCCCTCCATCAATGACCTTACCAGCCTCCCTCCATCAATGATTTTACCAGCTTCCCTCAGTGATCTTACCAGCCTCCCTCCATCAATGATCTTACCAATCTCCCTCAATCAATGACCTTACCAATCTCCCTCCATCAATGACCTTACCAATCTCCTTCCATCAATGACTTTACCAGCTCCCTCCATCAATGACCTTACCAATCTCCATCAATGACCTTACCAGCCTCCTTCCATCAAGGACTTTACCAGCCTCCCTCCAATGACCTCACCAGCCTCCCTTCATCAATGATCTTACCAATCTCCCTCCATCAATGACCTTACCAGCCTCCTTCCATCAATGACCTTACCAGCCTCCCTCCATCAATGACCTTACCGTATTAAGCATACTAAGCCAACTTGGATACATAAGTATATTACTACCATATTTTTCATAAGCTACACTGGGGGGAAGAAAGCTAACTTTATTTCCCTGCCATCTTCCATTATACAGGATGGTGTTCATACGAGGTTTTGAAAACAGTCAGCCTGAGCTGTGAGACTTCATTAGTAGGGCATTGAGGATGTCGTCAATGAGGGATGGGGTTGAAGGAGGGCTGGGTAATGGGGGCTAAAAGAGGGGGTCATGATTGAGGGTGTAGCTGAGGTAGAATGTGGAGTAGGGTGTGGTTAGTTTAGAGTTGCATCGATTGAATATGAAGGGAGGTAGGGTCCAGACAAGAATTTTTTGGGGGGTCGCTTTACATGGTACAAATCTGGAGACTTGAGATTCTGCTCCAGTTTTTCTCTCTCCCTATTTTTCCATGTGTTTGCTGGTGTTATATTTTCTCCTTCAGCTGTCCCCACTGCTCTGTTCTGTAACCATCCAGATACATACGGCGCTACATAGCGCCGTATGTACATAGCGCCGTATGTACCCGCCATATGTACCCGCCGTATGTAGTTGCCTCTTGCTTTTTCTATCGCAAGGATCAGTTTGATCGGATGTATTTTGTCAAGTAAAAGGACACAAGTGGAACTAATGTGACAAAGCTTCTAGAGAGCGAAACGTTACCACAATAAAATGTCACATTAGTTGCACTTGTGTCTTTTTATCTAACATATTGTCGGTAATTCCATCAACATTACTTCATTTTGTCCGTTGAATACCTTCCAAGGTCGAAAATTTTCTTCCTGTTGTATTTCAAGTCATGTTACTTATAAGTTTAATTTCTAAATGAACAAAAGGCACAATACCTTGACTGGAATAATACACAAATAACCCGCACATAGAAGAAAGAAACCTGTGACGACGTTTGGGTGTAACTTGAGCCATTAACTAGTTAATGGCCCAAACTGGACCGACACCTTGTCATAAATTTCTCTCCTATGTGCGGGTTATTTGTGTATTTTAGATTCTTGTATCTCTGCTGTCCATCTTGGTCCACCTGTCCCACCACTGGCCTCTTCTCTCGGAATTTGGACAGTTTCTTCAGCTGCAAGTGAGCTTTTCGTCTGTTATTCGCTTCCCAGTAGTAATTATTTAGCCTTGTCTCCCTCTCTCCACAAAGTATTTAACTTTCATTCCCAGTCGTCTTTCATTTTGCTTCTAAATGCAGCTGACATCAAGTCTTGGAACGGTAACCCGCTTCATTGCTCCTCTTCAGCATCCACTTGTCTTAGGATTTATTGTCTTTAATCTTTGAGTTACGCTCAGGAAAAATCCCTTCCTCAGACTTTAGCATATACGGCTGAAAATAGATTGATTTTCTGCTACTGTCAATATTAATTCTTCACTCGGTTCTGTTATTCACCTATTTGTACTCACCTATTTGTGGTTGCAGGAGTCGATTCATAGCTCCTGGTCCCGCTTCGCCTCTTGATCGCTACTAGGTTCTCTCTCTCCCTGCTCCATGTGCTTTATCAAACCCCGTCTTAAAACTATGTATGGTTCCTGTATGGTGTGTGTGTGTGTGTGTGTGTGTGTGTGTGTGTGTGTGTGTGTGATAGAGCAAGTGCACATAGTGTATGTTGTGCGTTTGCTTACCTGCATGTATGCAGTAATGTATGCGAGTGCGTGTACACCCAGCATGCCAGTAATGTATGCGAGTGCATGTACATCCAGCATGCCAGTAAGTCGTAAAACAGGAGTCTACAAGACAATAAACGACCGTTGTTAACAAAATATCTGCGAAAATTGCCTCTGTATTCTTGCTGGATCATAAACCATCAGATGTAATTTTGACAGTCGGCATTCTGCCCTTTCTCTACCCTCGTCTTGCCTTCCCCTCTCTCTTCCCCACATTCCTCCTTTCTTTTTCCCCTTCTCATATCTATTTCCTCTTCCTCACTGCCCATTCCCCGTACCTTTCCACTCTTTCCCTACTCTTTCCCTACTCTTTCCGTACTCTTTCCCTTTCTTATGTCTTTCCTTTGTCTACCTCCCCCTCCTCTCTGCCTTCTGTTCTATTCATTTTTAGGTATTTTATGACTACATCGGTTTATGTTAATGTATAAATGTAGATATTTTGTCAACCACATTCACTCCTTTCCCAAAAACCTCTTTTTTTTCTGTCTTTTTATAATTTCTGTTTGCCTCGTTCTGGGAGGAGGAAGATGCCCTACTGGTAATTTTATTCTGCCCGTGTATGGGATAAACTCTTCTCAGATATTATAATTCACAAATAAGAACTGCTGATACTCTGCTGGAACTAAAGTCATGTTGAAGCTCCAGTAGGTGATGATCCTTTACTGAAATACTTGACTCTGTTCCCATTGCCCTACTGAAGTCTCACAGCTCTGGTTTGATAGATTTTGACTGTGTGTGTATCAGCATATTGACTTACAAACTTGAGTGTTTAACCCAGAAAGTTCATTTTTAAACAAAGTTATTTTTTACCATTAGTAAATTAATTATCCCTTTGTTTCACCTCATTCTTATCACACCTTTCCCTAATAGATTCTAACTCACTTCTCTCTGGTACCATCGAAATTTAATACATGCATCATTATAATTGATTTTCACTAACTCCTCTATTTTTTTACATAGGGTTTAACAAGGCTAGGGTAAGGATTCCTAACTTTATTTACAAGCTAAGAGCTGTTACCTACATTTGCTCATTTAAACTCTCTCTCTCTCTCTCTCTCTCTCTCTCTCTCTCTCTCTCTCTCTCTCTCTCTCTCATCCCTCCCACACACACCATATCGCTAACACCTCAACTCTCACCTGTGCGTGTCAACATGCCTATATCTTGCGTCTCCCTGACAGGAAGCTGACATCGCCATCGCCCCGCTGACGATCACCTCATCTCGGGAGCGCGTGATAGACTTCACTAAGCCCTTCATGACTCTAGGGATTTCCATCATGATCAAGAAACCAGTAAAGGAGAAGCCAGGCGTCTTCAGCTTCATGTCTCCGCTCTCTCAGGAGATCTGGACGTGTGTTGTATTCGCCTACGTTGGAGTGTCCATCGTGCTTTTTCTCGTCAGTAGATTTAGCCCCTACGAGTGGAAGGTAATGTAACTTGGATTTAATATAAATATGAATTAATATGAATCTTCAAAGTTTTGGTACAACAGTTGTTGATGTGTGGAACAGTCTGCCGAGTAGGATAACAGAGGCTAATTCTTGGGTAACTTGGGGAAAAGGTTGGACAAATACTTGGGTGGGAACGGGTGGTTTTGATAAGGCCCTGCCTAGTATGGACCAGTAGGCTTGCTGCAGTGTTCCTCTATTCTTCTGTTATTATTCCTATGTAGACAATGGCTGAAATTGATCTGTGTATTTTGAATTAGGGTAGAAATCCGCATTAGCATGACAGTGAGAGAGAACTTCTGTTTTTCTGTCCTCGACTCGCGTATAATTAGTTAATACACAATAACCCTTAATTTAAGTAGAAGTAAATAGTTCTCACCATCAAATAGCCTCGAGTCTACTCCATATCTAACTTTCTCACAATTTATGAGAGAGGATGCACTATTCCTGGGCTTCTATCTACTAAAACTGTACGTGAAAAATGCTACCAATTCCTCTTCCAGATCATCTCACTTCCTAACCACCCTTAGACAGAAGACGTACTTTCTGAGACTCGTTTGTCTGTATAATTTACTTTCATATCCTTGGTATACTCAGGTATTAAGAGTTCCAAACATTCAGGAGGCTGCTAATCACCTATTCAATGCATCGGCCGCTTCAGGTCTTTTAGTCAGTTCACGAGGATTGTAGCAATAATTGCACTAGACCTCATAGATGGTTTGTTGTATTTTTAGTCAAACTTCAGGTAATTATAGTTAGCAAAATCTTTCGATTATGATAACTTTAAGGACTTCAGTACTCCTTGCTGAAAGCTGTTCCATCCTCTGTCAATCCTTTCTGAAGGCTGTTTCATCCTCTCTCTCTCCCTGTTGAAGGCTGTTCGACCCTCAAACACTCCTTACCGAAGGCTGTTCGACCCTCCAGCACTTGCTGAAGGTTGTTCATGCCTCCAACACTCCTTGCTCAAACATTCCATAGGCTGAATAAACCACACGGATTTAGCGATTCCCATAAATAATAATTTTTTTTTTTGGCCTCCATAATCAAGTGGCCATAAACTTTAATGTTTTTTCGGGTCATTGTCCTGTTGGAAAATTCAGTTGTAACCAAGCACCGAACCTCTTGACAGGGCTCCAGAATTTGAGCTAAAATATTCTATTTGGATACCCGTGAAATATAATACTGTTACGAGGAAGCACTAAGCCCGTAGGGATCACACAGCACCTGGTGAGGGTCAGGCAGTAATTTTTGATGCTGCTCTAAACCACCATCAAGACGCCTTCAAATATTCTGGAATCTGGAAAAAGTAAAACACAGCTCCCATTATTATACTGAAAAATGTGCATCAAACTCGTGATGGTCATAGAGCTGCGAGGTTGAGAAGAACTGTCAGAGCTGCGAGGTTGAGAAGAACTGTCAGAGCTGCGAGGTTGAGAAGAACTGTCATAGAGCTGTGAGGCTGAGAGGAGTTAACTGCAAAGGGAAGTAGCATGGAAAGTGTACTTGCGGAAAAAAAAAAATATCTTAGGGCGACACCACTTCTGCGCCCTCCGCCTTTTACAACTACTACGATCTTCTCTCTTCCTCCTTACTCTAATTCCTTTCCGTACCTCTTCCCCCTCCCCCTCATGCCTTTTTATACAGCCTGTATAAAATTAGCGAGTCACGTATTTTCAAGTATAAAGGTCCCAGGACCTTGATAATAAGTGAATGCATTTGTATGCTTCACCCCCTCCCCCGCCTCCCTTAACTTGTTTACATGTTCCGACTTTTTGATAGCTAGTCAGGTTTTTCAGGCATTCTGGTGGAAATATTTGTGTGTAAGTCTGGCATTTTTTAGTGCCAAATATCGGTTTACTGATGTTTCGGGCGAATGTTAATACTACTGTAACTGAGCATCAGTATTTCTAAAAGTCAAGATTTCTACCTTCAATTATTTTGCATAGATGTTACTAAAAAAAACCATAGAATGAGCTGGGCTTAAACCTCCGTGAGTTTTAGAACTCATTTGTCATGGGTTCAAATCCCATTCGTTCCGTGATTTGCTTGCAATCGTGTTATTACGATTTTGTGAGTTATGTTACGGCAGAATGATTACTTTTTCTAAAGTGAAGTTTGTGTAATAGTGATTTAACTTTACCGTGACTCGCTAATTATGTGATGCATGTCTGTAGCCCCTTACCTGCCAGTTCATCACTATCCATCATCCACTAATTACTTATGGTCCCACGCAGGTGATTGAGACTTACACCAAGTCGAGTGTGACTAACGACTTTACAATCTGTAACAGTCTTTGGTTCACCCTGGGAGCCTTCATGCAGCAAGGCATTGACCTCAGTCCCAGGTGAGGCTGCTAAAACTTAAATCTACTATTACTGTTTTTCTATACTAAATAGTCTGCTAAAACTTTATTCCACTCTTACTTTTTTCTATACTAAATAATCTGCTAAAACTTTATTCCACTCTTACTTTTTTCTATACTAAATAATCTGCTAAAACTTTATTCCACTCTTACATTTTTCTATACTAAATAATCTGCTAAAACTTTATTCCACTCTTACTTTTTTCTATACTAAATAATCTGCTAAAACTTTATTCCACTCTTACTTTTTTCTATACTAAATAATCTGCTAAAACTTTATTCCACTCTTACATTTTTCTATACTAAATAATCTGCTAAAACTTTATTCCACTCTTACTTTTTTCTATACTAAATAATCTGCTAAAACTTTATTCCACTCTTACTTTTTTCTATACTAAATAATCTGCTAAAACTTTATTCCACTCTTACTTTTTTCTATACTAAATAATCTGCTAAAACTTTATTCCACTCTTACTTTTTTCTATACTAAATTAATCTGCTAAAACTTTATTCCACTCTTACTTTTTTCTATACTAAATAATCTGCTAAAACTTTATTCCACTCTTACTTTTTTCTACACTATATAATCTGCTAAAACTTTATTCCACTCTTACATTTTTCTATACTAAATAATCTGCTAAAACTTTATTCCACTCTTACTTTTTTCTATACTAAATAATCTGCTAAAACTTTATTCCACTCTTACTTTTTTCTATACTAAATAATCTGCTAAAACTTTATTCCACTCTTACTTTTTTCTATACTAAATAATCTGCTAAAACTTTATTCCACTCTTACTTTTTTCTATACTAAATAATCTGCTAAAACTTTATTCCACTCTTACTTTTTTCTACACTATATAATCTGCTAAAACTTTATTCCACTCTTACATTTTTCTATACTAAATAATCTGCTAAAACTTTATTCCACTCTTACTTTTTTCTATACTAAATAATCTGCTAAAACTTTATTCCACTCTTACTTTTTTCTATACTAAATAATCTGCTAAAACTTTATTCCACTCTTACTTTTTTCTACACTATATAATCTGCTAAAACTTTATTCCACTCTTACATTTTTCTATACTAAATAATCTGCTAAAACTTTATTCCACTCTTACTTTTTTCTATACTAAATAATCTGCTAAAACTTTATTCCACTCTTACTTTTTTCTATACTAAATAATCTGCTAAAACTTTATTCCACTCTTACTTTTTTCTATACTAAATAATCTGCTAAAACTTTATTCCACTCTTACATTTTTCTATACTAAATAATCTGCTAAAACTTTATTCCACTCTTACTTTTTTCTACACTAAACACTAGCTTTATTGCGCTTTAATGAAACCCACATACAAAATTAACTTTATCACAATTTACTAAAACTTCCTGAAACTAGACAGGAACTTTGTCTCGGATTTCTGAATTCCTCGCACTAAAAAATGGAACTGTCTTCAAAATTTACTAAAATTTCTCTTATTAAAAGAAATTTTATCACGCTTTGCCAAAACTTCCTCACATTGAATGGGAACTTTCTCACACATTACTGAAACTTTCACTCTATACAAGTACATTCTCACAATATCCTGAAACTTTCACTATACTGACACTTTCTAAATTATGGTATGTGATATTTTATGTTATCCTGATTTTGTCATGCCTCAGATATTTTCTTACACTATTACTATCACAGTATACTGGTATTTTATCATAGTGTACTAATGAGTACTCACGTTCTACTGGTACAGCAAGTCCTCACTTAACGTTGATAGGTTATTGCAGACTGCGACTTTAAGCGAAATGGAAAACGAAACTAATTTTATCATAAGCTAATTGATATAAACATCATGGGTGCACAGTGCACTTTTAGCACTCGATGGAACAGGGTTAGATAAAGGAATAAATGTTTGCAATGCGAACATTGTAAGGAGCACCACCTACCACCACGCAGTTCACACATGAAGATGTAAACTCCGCGCAGTGGCCCATCCGGGAATCGATTTTCTCTCAACGTTATAACGAAACGACGTTAAGTGAGGATTTCCTTGTAATATACCGACATATTCTCACTGTGTGATAATTTATATCACGAAACTTTCTCTTGCTATAAACATATTCTTTTCCCTCATTATACATTTTCTTAGTATAATACTTTCTTTTCAGTTCGCTCTTTCAAGTTTTTCCTTCACTCTGACACTTCTCGCCCCCTTGTCCTCAGGTCACTCTCAGGAAGAATAGTGGGCAGTGCCTGGTGGTTCTTCACCCTTATCATCATCTCATCATATACGGCCAACTTGGCTGCCTTCCTCACCGTGGAGAGGATGGTCACGCCTATCAAGTCGGTGGATGACCTGGCCAAGCAGACTGAGGTGGAGTATGGTACCCGTGACGGTGGCTCTTCTAAAGAGTTCTTTGAGGTAGGTGTTAATTTAAATTAGACACACGTGCAACACTTGGATATCTTTATTGAGGACTTCATCAGTCGGTGACTTCATCAGTCCTATACAAAGAAGAATGGCGAAGATCAGAAGAAGTTTGAGATAATCAGTCCTTCAGCTTCGAGTCGATGGACTGATTACCTCAGACGCTTTCTGATCTTCACTATAATTCTTTGTGTAGGACTGATGAAGCCACTGTGTGATGAAACGTTTACTAATTGATCTAATTTATCAACTTGTCGGTTCTCTGAACCGGCTAACCAGTTTCCTTGAATCTCTTCATAACTGTGTCCTTTCTCACACTCCAACAGCACATCAAATCATAACCGCTTGCTCCCACTCCCATCTAACAGTTCACACAAGCCTGTTGGAAAGCTAAGCTTCTAGAACTCGAAACCTTTCTTATAGATTCCTCCCAACCCTTCCTTTGACGACCCCTAACTCTTCTTCCCTTCCCCCCAGATACACACATCATCCTCGTCATTCATTTTGCTGCCTCTCTAAATGTTCAAACAACCTCAACTTCCCTTCCTCTACTCTTTGAATAATACTTTTGGTAACCCATGGAGGCCAGAACTCATACCAGGAAGTTATTCATAAATTCATATTTCCATTATCGTATTCCGCATTAAAACACAGCCTTAAAAAATAAATACTGGGAACAGCTGTTGATAGTTTCTGGTCCATGCCTGGGATACTATTGAGTGTGGATATTTCTAGTATTCTCTCTCTCTCTCTCTCTCTCTCTCTCTCTCTCTCTCTCTCTCTCTGTATTTCTCTTTCTCCGGTTCTCAAGACATGACATTCCAGCAGGAATGGAATTTTCTTAGCTAGGACTTGCCACCCAGCAAGTATTAGGTGCAAGTACTAGGTGCGACCCACAACTTCGTCCTAACGCGTAATACTGCTAGGAGTAGTTGAAGTGCAACGAAGCTTGATCGTTTTTCCGAGTCAGGAAATCGAACCTCGGATAAGATTCCGTTTCGCATGTTCTTCCCAGTAAGTCATGTGGCACCCGGTTAACTGGGGGAAGAATATATAAATAACAAATAAGGCACAACACCAGGAAGAATATATCTTAGTGCTAGGATTTAAAATGAACTGGGATAGACTAAGAGCTTTCAGCCAGCAAATTGAACTCTGCACCTTAGCGGCTACTACCATACTCTACCTTGCAGTATACCATCTACTACCATATTCTGCCTCTCGGTATACCATCTACTACTATACCCTACCTCGCAGTATACCATCTACTACCATATTCTGCCTCTCAGTATACCATCTACTACTATACCCTACATCCCAGTATACCATCTACTACCATACACTGCCTTCCAGTATACCATGTAGCATGTCTCCAAGAAGACACTAGTTTAGTTCCAGATCAGTTGTAGATCAACCAAGCTGTCGTCTGTATGCTCAACTGCGTTTGACCAGCAGTAACAGCCTAGTTAATCAGGCCTTGATCCACCAGGAGGCCTAGTCTGAGACCTGGCCATTAGATCCTTAACCTCTGAATACCCATAGGTGATAAACCGATTAGGTTAGATGTGGTATTCACCCAAAGTGATTCCAACGTATTGATAAAAAGGTCATTACAGGGTCTTTTTAATAATTCATGGTAAGCGCTAAACTCATGTGGGTCATTTAGCGTAAGTGGTGGAGACTTCATCCTCCGTGTACAGAGAACGACAGACAGACCCGCTTCCTGTCTGAGCTCACCTAAATAGGGGTCGAGGGTACTAGGATTGAATCAAGGAAAGGGACGCTAGCTAGGTTACCTTACCCAGTAGCTTCTCTCCAGCATCAAGGTTCCTCTCATAATGACCTTCAAAAGGGAAACAAACAAGGGAGCGATAAAATCCGTAAAGTTAGTAGTAATAATCACTTTGATCAATCTGAAACATTGAGGTTGTAACACAGGGTCCCCTTAAAAAAGGTTCCTTAACGCTGGTGAGGGGCTCTTGATCCTGGGAGTTGGATCTGGGCTCCAGTTCCCTTAAGCCTGAATACCTTCCACATCCCCCCACATGCGCTGTATAATCCTACGGGTTTAGCACTTCCCCTTGATTATAATAACACGAGCAACACAACAGGTTATAACAGAGGAGCGACACAATAGGTTATAACTTAGGGGTAACACATTGTAACACAGGGGTAACACAAACTGTAACACAGGGTAACACCGGTTGTAACACAAGGGTAACACAAGTTGAAACAAGGGTAACACGTGGGGTAACACAACAGGTTATAACACAAGGGGTAACAGGTTGTAACAAGGGGTAACACAACAGGTTATAACACAAGGGGTAACACAACAGGCTGTAACAAGGGGTAACACAACAGGCTGTAACAAGGGGTAACACAACAGGTTATAACACAAGGGGTAACACAACAGGCTGTAACAAGGGGTAACACAACAGGCTGTAACAAGGGGTAACACAACAGGCTGTAACAAGGGGTAACACAACAGGCTGTAACAAGGGGTAACACAACAGGCTGTAACAAGGGGTAACCCAACAGGTTGTAACACAAGGTGTAACACAGGAAGTTATGACTGGGGTTTTCCCTTCTCCCCCTCTCATTAATCTTCTCTCATTTTCATTCTCTCCTCCTCCTCCTCCTCCTCCCTTCTTTCAGCACTCAAACTCTCTTTCACCAGTACTCTCTTCCCACCCTAACCCTTTCTTTCCTCTACCTCTCCTCCCTCACTTCATCCCTTTCTTCCTCCCTCTTTCTCTCTGCTTTCCTCCCTCACTTCTCCTCTCCCTCACTTCTCCTCTCCCTCCCTCACTTCCTCTCTCCCTCACTTCCTCCACCAACCACAAGCCCTCCAGCCCTCACTCAAAATTAATAACCACACACAGTGTATCACCCTTAAACCTGTCCTTCTCTTCTGTCTGTGATCCAGAGTGGCAGAGGGACACGCATACTAGCACGCGCGAGCACGCGCTAGGACGCGCCAAATCTTCACTAGGACGCGTATTTTAATACAGAGCTTTAAGCGTAGGTACGATTGTGCCTGAGAGTTCAGGAAATGAGAGAGGAATAGAGCTGCTGGGACAGGAGCTAGACCCTTGCAAACACATTTAGGCGAGTACAGTTCCAGAGCTAAGGGGGAATGTCCTACGAAGAAAGGTTAAGGGAAATTGTCCTACCGACACTGGAGGACAGGAGGATTAGGAGACATGATAACGCCATACAAAATACTGCGTGGAATTGACAAGTTGAACAGAGACAGGATGTTCCAGAGCTGGGACACAATAACAAGGGGTATTCGGTATCCAGACCAGAGCTTTGGTGAGATGGGTAAGGAAGAAGGATGGGTAAGGATAGAAATTTTGGAAAAGGGTGGGAGGGGGGAGAGAGGTAGGATATAAAAGGTAAGTGGCCCAACCACTTTGGTGTAATTTAAAAAGTGCACGTGAAATGATAAGATATTCTTTAAGAGGTATAAGACTAACCCGTCAGAGTCACATAGATATAACAGATATATAAGTACATGACTCTGAATTGGTAGTAATTATACAAGTTGCAATTTTTTTTTTTTTTTTTTTTTTTTTTTTTTTTTTTTTTTTTTGCGATTGCACAACGGATATTTATGCGACAATGAAGGCAATTTTCTGGCCAGTTTATAGAATTCCGTGACAATGGCTTCCTACAGGTGGTGTCCAGCCATAGTAAATAGCATAATTTTTACATTAGATTGTTATATAAGATGTCTCCCTAATTGGGGGCGATGATGTTCTCAGTATACATAGAAGGGTTCTTGTGGTACCCAATCTTCTTCATCAGGGAGGTTGCTCAATATCATGGGTCGAGGGTAATCATCTTTATGTATAAAACGACGGACCCTCTGTGGGAGAGTCATTCTTTGAGTCCTTTGAGTCCTGTGAAGAGGAGTATTGATGCTATAATCCGTGGTATTTACCACTTGTATAGGATGTTCTCTATCTGGCATGTATAGTTCTTGCATTGTATAGAGTTGTTTCTTTTTTAGGGTGTCAAGGCGTACATTTATGGCAGTAATATCTTGTTGTATGTGTAAATCTGCCATTTTTACTCTGTCTCTCCTCCTGGTATCGGTAATGAAGCGAAGAGCTCTATTCTGGACAAGGGGTCTCAATTGGAAACTGAAGACTCAGATGAGTCAAAGGGCTGTTAGGAAGTATTTCTTCACCCATAGAGTTATCAAGAAGTGGAATAGTCTGGCAAGTGACGTAGAGAAGAAAAAAACCATACATAGTCTAAAGACGAGGTTTGATAAAACTCATGGAGCTGGGAGAGGACCTAACAGCGATCAGTGAAGAGGCAGGGCCAGGAACTATGACACGTCCCCTGTAATCACAAATAGGTGAGTGTGTACACACACCAGTCAAATTGATTTTCAGGACAGAATCGGTGCAAAACGGGATCCTGCAGCAGAAACCACGGATAAAGGAAACAAAACACCAGCGGGTGTACCTACACCACGACAGAAGAGCAGTACGACAGACACTGAGAGGATACAAAGACGATAGTAGCAAGAAAGAAGGGAAAGGTAGTCAAGCGGGGACACCCAGAGTCTGGAGGAGCAGCAAGCACAACCACTTACAGAATCACCCACAGAATTCCATAATCAAACAGATTAAACAAAAACGACACTCCACACTTACAGCCCCCTCCCTCACAAACCGCACTTACACAGCAGCCTCTCATAGCACCCTGCCAGGTTTCCCACTCTCCCAGCCCCCACAAACCCCCCAGAATATAGTTTTGGAAAAGAAGCTGAAGGTAAGGTACAACAACACAGTATAACGAACAAGTATGAGGAGGCATCCCCAGACATTATAGCATTTACAAAAACCAAGCACACGGGAATGATAAACGACGCAATCTTTCCAACTAGATATCTGATCCTGAGGAAAGAGGGAACAGAGGGGAGGGGGTGGAAGGGTTGCACTGCTCATCAAAAAAAGTGAAATTTTGGGGAGTTGAAAGGATTGCACAAAGGGGAAGCCAGGGACTACATAGTAGGAACACTCAGGCTGAGGGTCCCAAGGTAGTGGTGTACAACCCACCACAGAATAGCAGGAGGCCAAGACAAGAATATGATGAGAGCAACAAAGCAATGGTTGATAAACTAGATGAGGTGTTCAGAAAGGCCCATAAGATCAGGGCAAAGGTACTAGCTGTGGGGGATTTCAGTCACAGAGATTGACTGGGAGAACCTGGAGTCACATGGGACACCAGAGACGTGGAGAGCTAAGATGGAGGTGGTGAATCAACACATTAGGGATGCTACCAGAGAGAGAGAGTAGAGGATGAACCAGCAAGAGTGGACCTCATATTCACCTTTAGTGTTCAGACACTGACATCACATATGAAAGGCCCCTTGGAGTTAGTGATCACGTGGTCCTGTGCTTCGAATACACAGAGTTACAAGTGGAGAGGGAAGTAGCACGAGTAGGATGGGAAAAGCGAAACTACAAAAAAGAGAATTACACAGGGATGAGAAATTGCCTGCATGAGGTTCAGTTGGAAAGAGAACTGGTGGGAAAACCAGTAAATGAAATGATGGAATATGTGACAACAAAACGCAGGAAAGCAGAGGAGAGGTTCATACCCAAAATCAAAGGAAACGATGGGAATACCAGAAGGAGCCCTTGGTTCACCCAGGGGTATAGAGAGGCCAAAACTAAGTACGCTAGAGAATGAAAAATATATAGAAGACAAAGGACCCAAGAAAATAAAGAGATTGATCAAAGAGCTAGGAACGAATATGCACAGGTAAAAAAGGAGGCCCAGTGGCAATACAAAAATGACATAGCATCGAAAGCCAGATCTGTCCTAAAGCTGTAAAGCAACATCAGGATAAAAACAACGTCAAGGATCAGGTAATTAGGCTGAGGAAGGAAGAAGGGGAGATCATAAGAAACGACCGGGAAGTATGTGAAGAGTCCTGTTACGAACATAGTCAGTTGGTCCCTGGGTTATAGTGCTTTTCGTAACAAACTAACCAACTTAGCATGTCTAGGGGTCTTCACTCGTAGAGAAAAAGGAATTTTCTTGGTTTATATTTAATTTATTAATAACCATAATAACTACTTAAATTCACTTTCTCATATTTTGCACTGTGAGTAGAACACTTATCTCACGCCTCATTAAAACATCACAGTACTAAGTTAAGTATTTACAAATGGCTCTGAGTGAGTCAGGAAATATCAGTATATGTACATGCACAGGTGTTGCTTAAAAGTTCGAACACCACATTGATAGAGCTCTTACATAGGGTTCACTCTGCAATAAGCCCTCTTACAACACCGAGAATTTCTCTAAGAGCTTCTCAACCGCCTTCTCCAACCGAGAAAAGCCTTAGCAATGAGTTTCCGAAAATTCCTGGTATTTTCTAAGGAGGAGAATGGTGGTTTAGAAGTGGATACTTCCCTAGACCCATCCTGGTCCAGAGGAAGGCATGAACTGAACAAAGTAAGGCTTTACCAGCCAACTTTGACTCGGTCGGAGCAGGGGTTGAGCAGCTCAAAGCACCTGCTGGTGCTTGGCCAGGTTGCACCAGCAGTTTAGACTAAACCTACCTATGTACAAAGCTAAGTAATACGACCAGATAATATTATAAAGTCGAGTAAATCCATTTTAGCTACTAATGGAATTACTCCTGAATATAATATTAAGTGAAATAGCAAAAATAATATGTAAATGTATACCACTGCAATAATAACAAGTAGAAACTGCCTACTTAAAATAGACAAAAGGGTGTAACAAGCCCTACATGAGATTTAAGAAGTGTTTGCAGTGAAGACAGAAAGGAGTCCAGAAAGCCGGAATGGTAGGGTTCACCAACAAATGCTGGACACAATACACACACCCGAGGAGGTGTAGAGGTTGCTGAGTGAACCAGAGACCTCAAATGCGATGGAACCGGACAACATCTCTCCGTGGGGTCCTGAGAGAAGGGGCAGAGGCACTGTGTGCCACAAACAACAATCTTCAACATATCTATAGAAACAGGGCAACTACCTGAGGTGTGGAAGACAGCAAATGTAGTCCTAGGTTTTAAGACACAGACAACAGCACTAAACTACAGACCAGTGTCACTGACATGTATAGTATGCATAGTCGTGGAGAAGATTATCAGGCTTGTACACGATAACCAGCACGGTTTCAGGGAAGGGAAATTGTGTCACAAATTTCCAGGAGTTGTACTTTCGACAGTGTTCCACATAAGAGATTAATACAAAAGCTGGAGGAGCAGGCAGGTATAACAGGAAAGGCACTGCAATGGATCAGAGAATACCTAACAAGAAGTAAACAACGAGTCAATGTACGTTACGAGGTGTCAGAGTGGGCGCCTGTGACAAGCATGAATCTACATGGATCAATTCTAGGGCCGGTGCTGTTTCTGCTATATGTAAATGACATGACGGAAGGGATAGATTCAGAGGTGTCCCTGTTTGCGGACGATGTGAAGCTAATGCGAAGAATTCAGTCGGATGTGGATCAGGTAGGACTACAAAGGGATCTGGAAAGGCTGCAAGCCTGGTCAAGCAACTGGCTCCTGGAGTTTAACCCCGCCAAGTGTAAAGTCATGAACATTGTGGAAAGTCAAAGAAGACCGCAGACAGAGTATAGGCTAGTGGGCAAAAACTGCAAACTTCACTCAAGGAAAAGGATCTTGGGGTGAGCTTAATACCAAACACTTCTCCGGAGGCGCACATCAACCAAGTAACTGTTGCAGCATATGGGCGCCTGGCAAACCTAAGAATAGCGTTTCGACGCCTTAGTAAGAAATCGTTCATTACTTTGTACACTGTGTCGTCAGGCCCATATTGGAGTATGCAGCACCAGTATGGAACCCCCACCTGGTCAAGCGCGTCATGAAATTAGAGAAAGTACAAAATTTTGTAGCAAAACTAGTCCTGAAGCTAAGACGCATGTCCTACGAGGAGAGGTTAAGGGAAATTAACCTGACGACACTGGAGGACAGGAGAGATAGGGAGGACATGATAACAGCATACAAAATACTAAGAGGAACTGACAAGGTGGATCGTGACAGGATGTTCCAGAGATGGGACACAGCAACGAGCGATCACAATTGGAAGTTGAAGACTCAGATGAGTCATAGGAATGTTAGGAAGTATTTCTTCAGTCATAGAGTTGTCAGGAAGTGGAACAAACAGGAGAGTGATGCAGTGCAAGCGGGGTCCATACATAGTTTTAAGAAGAGATACGATAAAGCTCATGTAGCAGGATGAGAGTGGACCTTGTAGTGACCAGCTAAGAGGCGGGGCCAGGAGCTGTGACTCGACCTTTGCAACCACAATACGTGAGTAAAAATAGGTGTGTACACACACATACACACACACACACACGCACATACAAACACATACACACAAACACACACACACACACACACACACACACACACACACACACACACACACACACACACACCTATTGTTTGTATCAAACAACAGAGAAGGGTAAAGTTTTTCAACTTTTTTTAAACTTTTTTTTTTGGTCGAAGATTGAATAAAGGCTTTACTCTCCCAGCTGTGATGAATAGGTTGCAAAGCATTGCCTTCACTAGGAGTGTGTGTTTGTGTGTGTGTGTTTGTGTGCGTGTGTTTGTGTGTGTGTATGTGTGTGTGTGTGACTAACGGACGTGAGCGTTACTGTATGACTTAAAGCCATTTTCGGTTTGAATAATTGAAGCTTTGTGTATCGTTTTACTATTGTCTCTTAGTCTTTCTCGTTATTCCCTGTACGTCAGTCAACGTACGTCTCTCTCTGTCTCTTTCCCTGGGTCTTTTCTCGTACCACATTCACTTTCTGAGGAACTTATGCTGCCTTTCCCTTCCTCCATCACTGTCTTACACTCCTTCCTCTTCCTCCATCACTGTCTTACACTCTTTCCTCTTCTTCCATCACTCTCTCTTGACTTCCTTCCCGTTTCGTAAAAATCTTTCCCTTCATTGGTTTACCCTAAATTATTCACCGTTCGTCTCTCATTACCTATCCACTTCGTAATTTTTATTCGGCTTGTCGTTCTATCGTCCCATTTCTCACTCTAATCAGCACTATCCTCTCTTCATTCTCCCTATACATCTCATTCTCCCCATACATCTCATTTTCCCAATACATCTCATTCTCCCCATACATCTCATTTTTCCCATACATCTCATTCTCCCCATACATCTCTCCCCATGCATCTCACTCTCTCCCCAGAGGTCCAAGATAAGCGTATACAACCGCATGTGGGAGTTCATGTCATCTCGGAAGTACGTATTCACTTCGACGTACGAGGAGGGCATCGAGCGGGTACGGACGTCGAAGGGAAAGTACGCTTTCCTGCTGGAGAGCGTCAAGAACGACTACATCAACGAGCAGCTGCCGTGTGACACCATGAAGATAGGACAGAACCTCAACTCTAATGGCTACGGTGTCGCCACTCCAATGGGTTCTCCCCTCAAGTGAGTTCCGGGTTACATTATTCTTTCTTTCTCATTTGAATAATAAATAATTATAATCTTTATTTCTACAAGTACATGTACAAAGTATACAGGCTTAGTTGACATCAATGACATACTACTATACAGAAAGCCCCTTGTTATGAAGAGCATTTCGAGTAAATTAGGTCAATTTTGTCGCCAGGATGCGACCCACACCAGTCGACTACCTCCCAGGTACCAGTTTTACTGATAGATGAACATGGTCAGAAAGTGTCTTAAGGAAAGACGTTCTAATGTTTCTACTCGTACCAGGAATCGAACCACGGACCTCAGTGTGAGCTGAATGCGCTAGCAATTTAGCTACGGGTCACAGAATTGACACTTCAGTAGGCCTTCTCAAATCCAGCTCTTCTCCCTCGTGTAGTTGTATAACAATATAAGAATTGAGCACTGTAGTAGGCTTATTGGCTCATGCTAGGTAGGTCCCTCTCGTTATATAATTTTGTGCAATAATTGAAGAACACTGTAATAGGCCTATTGGATCATGGTAGGCAACTCTCTCAGGTTCACTCCTCACTCATATTTATGCAAGAAAATAAGGAATATTACAGTAGGCCTATTGGCCCATTCTAGGCAGATCTTCAAATCCAACCCTTCTCACTCGTATGTTTGTATACGAACATATATGAGCAGCACTCGTATGACCCATTTGGGTTTGGTGCTTGTTTTGAAACAAGACACGTGTTTCCTGACGAGGGTCTTAGTCATATGATGACCCGCCGTTGTAGCTTTTGGTCATCTGACCGACGCCTCCCGCTGGCTTACCGGTCCACCCCTTTAACAGTTATGGCCATAATTATAACCATTTTTCAGACAATTTTTTCTAATGCAATAGACGTGGTTACTGTTATTTTGGATAAAATTTTAAAATATGATTTAAATAGGTTTAAAAATCGAAAAGTTGCAAAATGACACTTGTGCAACATTTGTAACGATTCACCAGCCAGTGACTTCTTCAGTCCGATACTGAGAAGAACGGTGGACGATGAGGGAAGTTTTGAGGTAATCAGTCCGTGTGTTCAGTCAATCTTAAGAAAATATCGGACTGAGAAAACGTGTCCTCATAAAGATTACTTAATGTTACACAAATGTCTTCAGTTTTCATTAACATGTATTGCATGAAGAGCTAAACCCTTACACTTGAGAGGTCAGGTGTAAGCTTGATCCTCCGTTCCGCTTAGCAACCCTCCGTCAGTCTGTCGTAATTCTGATTAATCGGTACAGTGCACCCTTGCCACATAGACCTAACTGGACGATTCAGCTTATTAGGCACGACATATTTATAAAAAGTCACATGAAAAGTCAATAAAAGTATATATAACTATTGAATACTTTATACTTTTTTAAATACGTGGAACATTAAAAAAATTATATTTGCTAAAATAATATTATATTGTAAATATCGTCGATTTAGAGCAGTTTGAAAACTATAGCATAAAGACACAAATGTACTATAATACAATCTTTTATTGGCAACGTTTCGCCCAGAATATGGTCTTGTGATGGGCAAAATGTATAGTTTCGAGTTAAATCGATTGGTAAAAGCTGTGAAGGCCGTCTAGTCGAAGAGGCTTTCAAAAGGTAAGCCCGACCTGAGGCTGGTTTGCAGGGAGTAGAAGAGCCCTGAAAACTAATCAGGGGTAAATCACAGGTAATTGAGTTTTTATTTGTTGATGAGAAAATGGAGAACGGAGAAGGCAGGGAGACGTGTCATTGTCTGTGTAATTCCTACTGTCTCTTTGAGATATAACGGGATGAGAGACAGAGATGCTGGAGATTATCTGTGAGGGGAGAGTGAAAATTTCATTTATTTATGAGTGATGTGTCTGTGTCTGTTTTTCTCTCTCTCTCTCGTATTTCTCTTGTCTCTATCTTGTCTGTCTTGTCTTGTCTTTCTCTCTTGTCTGTTTCTTGCGTCTGTCTCTGTCTTATTTTTTTACACAGAGTTTGACAAGGCTAGGGTAAGGATTCCTAACTTTATTGACAAGCTAAGATCTGTTACCTACATCAGCTCATTTGAAAGCATTTTTATTGTTATGTGACATACAGTAGGGAACAGGATGAAGTTAAGAGCCATCTGCGGGCCAGCAATTTCATTTGATCAACTGACTTCATTTCGTTGATATCATAATGCTGTACGAATGTGTTCCATACTCAAGTCATCCTGGGGATAAATGATCTCAGATGAAGTGATGTTCTGGAGAAGGTTACAGCCAGAGTGAGGTTACTGCGTTCTCTCTCTCTCTCTCTCTCTCTCTCTCTCTCTCTCTCTCTCTCTCTCTCTCTCTCTTTACACAGGGTTTGACAAGGTTAAGGATCCCTAGCTTTATTGACAAGCTATTTACAGGTTAAGGATTCCTAACTTTATTGGCAAGCTAAGAGCTGTTACCTACATCAGACCATTTGAAAGCATTTTTATTGTTATGAGACATACAAGTAGGGAACAGGATGAAGTTGGAGCCATCTGTGGGCCAGCATTTTCATTTAATCAACTGACTTTCTTTCTCTCTCTCTCTCTCTCTCTCTCTCTCTCTCTCTCTCTCTCTCTCTCTCACACACACACACACACACACACACACACATGTTAGGAAGTATTTCTTCAGCCACAGAGTAGTCAGTAAGTGGAATAGTTTGGGAAGCGATGTAGTGGAGGCAGGATCCATACATAGCTTTAAGCAGAGGTATGATAGAGCTCACGGCTCAGGGAGAGTGACCTAGTAGCGATCAGTGAAGAGGCGGGGCCAGGAGCTCGGACTCGACCCCCGCAACCTCAACTAGGTGAGTACAACTAGGTGAGTACACACTCTTAATTACTATGCTAATACATAATTTAGCGTAGATGTAGCGCTATTAATAAAGTACTGCAAAGTTTTGAACGCTAAATAGTTTAGTCTGGTTATTTTAAATACGTGTGTGTGTGTGTGTTTGTTAGTATGTTTGGAAGATGCTTGTATGTAGGTTGGCTTTGTTAAAGTGTGAGGAGAAAGTGCCAGGATGAGGGAAAGTGTTAGGGTGACAAAGTGTCAGGGTGAGAGAAAGTGTTAGGGTGACAGTGCTAGGGTGAGAAAAAGTGTTAGGGTGACAGTGCTAGGGTGAGAGAAAGTGTTAGGGTGACAGTGCTAGGGTGAGAGAAAGTGTTAGGGTGACAGTGCTAGGGTGACAGTGCTAGCGTGAGAGAAAGTGTTAGGGTGACAGTGCTAGGGTGACAGTGCTAGCGTGAGAGAAAGTGTTAGGGTGACAGTGCTAGGGTGAGAGAAAGCGTTAGGGTGACAGTGCTAGGGTGACTGTGCTAGCGTGAGAGAAAGTGTTAGGGTGACAGTGCTAGGGTGAGAGAAAGTGTTAGGGTGACAGTGCTAGGGTGACAGTGCTAGCGTGAGAGAAAGTGTTAGGGTGACAGTGCTAGGGTGACAGTGCTAGCGTGAGAGAAAGTGTTACGGTGACAGTGCTAGGGTGAGAGAAAGCGTTAGGGTGACAGTGCTAGGGTGACAGTGCTAGCGTGAGAGAAAGTGTTAGGGTGACAGTGCTAGGGTGAGAGAAAGCGTTAGGGTGACAGTGCTAGGGTGACAGTGCTAGCGTGAGAGAAAGTGTTAGGGTGACAGTGCTAGGGTGAGAGAAAGTGTTAGGGTGACAGTGCTAGGGTGAGAGAAAGTGTTAGGGTGACAGTGCTAGGGTGAGAGAAAGTGTTAGGGTGACAGTGCTAGCGTGAGAGAAAGTGTTAGGGTGACAGTGCTAGGGTGAGAGAAAGTGTTAGGGTGACAGTGCTAGGGTGAGAGAAAGTGTTAGGGTGACAGTGCTAGGGTGAGAGAAAGTGTTAGGGTGACAGTGCTAGCGTGAGAGAAAGTGTTAGGGTGACAGTGCTAGGGTGAGAGAAAGTGTTAGGGTGACAGTGCTAGGGTGAGAGAAAGTGTTAGGGTGACAGTGCTAGCGTGAGAGAAAGTGTTAGGGTGACAGTGCTAGGGTGAGAGAAAGGGTTGGTTTAGTAGTGAGCAGCAGTGCCTCTAAGCTGGGCGCCTGTACTGCCGCGCAGTAAGTTAACAAGTACTGACCTTGTTCTCTACAACAGCACCTTCAGTGGAGTCTGTGATTCATTTTACACCCCAATTTAATCATTTCCTACTGCATAATATATCTACGCCGTCCATACGTATGGGTCGTGGTAGCTTAAAAACTAGATTAATGACGAATTGCCTCGTAACTGTAACAGGTGTATAATACACACATTGTTGTTATTACCAGACTTCTGAAAAACGGTATGTTGATACCATCAAAATGTGGAAAAAGACACTTGTGTACACTTCGCCACGAGTGACTTCTTCAGTCCTAATAGAGAGAGAACCGAGAACGAGTATATATAGTGACAGGACTTAGATAGGAAGCTACGAAAGGATAGTAATAATAGTAGTTGTAGTGCAATTATGTTGAGGTGGGTTAGGCTTGAGAAGGCTCTGTCAATATTCTTGTTTTTATTATTAAAAAATTGCTAATTTTACCATTTTTATTTTTACATTTATTGCTTTTATTATCATTACCACTGTTACTATTATACAAACTACTACTACTGCTACAAAAACGACAAATAATAGCAGGTTAAAAGACCCTTCACAAGAAGTCTTGGTACCCCAGGCTCATAAAATGTTAATAGTAATAACTGCGTCTCGCTCCAGCGTGTTGTTACTGCCACTAATTCTGACGGGTGAAGCCTATTTTGGGAATAATTTCGAGTAATTCTCTTGTGATAAGAGAGGCTCCTAATTTTGTCATATGTATAATTCAAGGGAAAAATTCCGAGCATTAGTGATATTTCGGTCGCATAAAAATTTGAATTCCTAATGCTGAGATGCTTCTCTCACGCTGCGTTGATGCTGATTGACAGGCTCTTGTTCCCAGGAATTGGGAATGTAGTTTGCGCGGTCCCGGACTCCTGCATTGCCAGTTTGATCACTCAGGCTGTTGGTATTATC